GTGCAGGGCTTCCTCTGGACCAGTGTGTGATAACAGTGATGTCTCCTTCATGACCCTAGTGCAGGGCTTCCTCTGAACCAGTGTATGATAAAGTGATGTCTCCATATCCTAGTGTAGGGCTTCCTCTGGACCAGTGTGTGATAACAGTGATATCTCCTTCATGACCCTAGTGCAGGGCTTCCTCTGAACCAGTGTATGATAAAGTGATGTCTCCATATCCTAGTGCAGGGCTTCCTCTGGACCAGTGTGTGATAACGGTGATGTCTCCATGACCCTGGTGCAGGGCTTCCTCTGGACCAGTGTGTGATAACAGTGATGTCTCCATATCCTAGTGTAGGGATTCCTCTGGACCAGTGTGTGACAACAGTGATGTCTCCATGACCCTGGTGCAGGGCTTCCTCTGGACCAGTGTGTGACAACAGTGATGTTTGCATGGCCCTAATGTTCCCTCTGTTGAAATGGAAAGCCCAGGTCAGTGCCCAGAAGATGGGCTGAGATGAGGAAGTTGGAGAAGATTCCAGGAGGCATTAAGTTGAGCTCAAAGCTGCACAAAGAGCTTTTCAGGCAGAGGAGAAGGGCAGTGAACCTGCAGAAAGGAGGCTGAGGCCAGGCCTCTGAATGGAGGTGAGCTGGGTAGAAAGGTAAAAATAAGGTAAGGCATCATGGCTGAGCAGGGGCTAGACCACAGAACTGAGTTCAGGGTTTGAGCGCGGTGCTCACTGTTGTGTTTGATACACATGTGTAAAGAACTGCAGTTAGCTGGGCGGTGGTGGCGCACGCCTTTAATCCCAGCACTCGGGAGGCAGAGCCAGGAGGATCTCTGTGAGCTTGAGGCCAGCCTGGGCTACCAAGTGAGTTCCAGGAAAGGCGCAAAGCTACACAGAGAAACCCTGTCTCGAAAAACCAAAAAATAAAAAATAAATAAAATAAAATAAATAAAAAAGAACTGCAGTTGCTCCACGGTGAACATTTTTGGATCTCTAGAGGAAATTCAGTGAATGAGAAAGTGAAAATCCTGCCAGCCTGTGAGATGACTCAGCCAATAAAGCCGCTGGCTCCCAAGCCGAACCACCTGAGTTCAATGCCTGAGGCCTGCATGGTGGAAGGATAGAACCAACTCCGGCAAGGTGTCCTCTGAGCTCCACCAGTGTGCTGTGGCATCCTCCCACCCCCACACACCCCCACACACAATAAATGAATAAATAAATTAATGTAAAGAGAAAGCAAGAGGGCGGTGCTCAGAGGTTAGCTCGGCCACCCTACCTATTTACGGTGGAGCCTGGGAGGAGAGGGCAGTAGCCAATAAGCACAGCCCTCGGGAAACAGGGAATGCCCAGCAGCTGGGCATGGAGGTGGAGGAACCAAGAGGGGCTCCACACACAATCACAAGCTGATTGGGACAGAAATCTTGATGGCTCTCTTGCAAGGCAGTTACCGGGTCACCTGGCTGCTCCTATAATCTGAGGTTTCCCTTTTCCTCCTTCTGTTGGTCTAAGTCTCTCTCTCTCTCTCTCTCTCTCTCTCTCTCTCTCTCTCTCTCTCTCTCTCTCTCTCT